TTTTTTTTTTTTTTCTTCTCTTACTATTACTATAATTATTACTATTCTCTCCCTCTCCTCTCTCTCTCTCTCTTTTTTTTTTCTGTTGCTCCACTCAACAAGATATCGCTGCCATAATACAGCCAATGAGAGATGAGCCGCAGGAGGCAATCACTAACTTCCACCCAAGGCCGTACTCCCACTTGTAAAGAGTATCCGCCTTGAGTGCGCCCTGCTCCGGACACCAGGGACTCACATACCACCACATCATGAGAATAAGAACCACCGCAGAGGCAAGAGCCGCCAAGAGAAAGTAAAGCGTCAAAGGAAGACGCAAAATAGTGGGAAAACAGAAGAGAAAAACACTCATTAAAAAGTTGAGAAAACAAAGAGCAGAGGCTATAATCGCAACACCCTCTACAGCTTGAATACGCATTTTACCATCATCACATGTAAAGTACTCCGTACGCAGTGTATGTTTAACCTCTTCACCGGGTTGTCCACCCACCAGTGGCCATTCACGGAATTCCCAAAAGGTGATTTCACCCTTCATGATGGGTGAGATGCCTCCAGAAGGGTCAGCATCAGCTGTCTTCCATTTAGACTCAAAGAAGGGAAAGAAGAGAAGTATTACCATTAGCGCCAATGCGGCAATAGCGAATATGAGCGAGCAAGCACGTCCAACGAACATTGTCTTCCACCTTTTTCTTTTTTTTTTTTCTTTTCTTTTCTTTTTTTTTCTTTATTTATATACACCTTCTATTAGAATAAAAAAATTCTATTCGATTTCTAATTTGGGCCCTTTTTTTCTTTGCTCTTTTATGTGTTCGTTTGTTTGGATATATGTAGAACTGTCACTCTCTAACTATCTCTTTCGCTATATATATAAAAGTCTACCTTTCTACGTTATATTGGAAGAGTTAAAAAGGATGAACAAGAACCAAAAAAAAAATAAGAAAAAGAACAAGAAAAATAGGAAAAAGAAAAAAAAAAATAGTACATGTAATGAGAACTGTAGAAATGATAATAGAATATGCACAGGCCTTCAAACACCATACACAACGACTTCAAAAGGGTACAACATACACAATCAAAACTGCACGTGAACAGACGCAAAGTGAGGGAATGTATATATATATATATATATATGTGTATGTTTGTACGAGATAGAAAGAGATAGACTGGGAGAATGAGGAGAAAGACAGAGAAACGAGAAAAAAAAGAGAAAATAACAAGGGAACACAAAGAAAGCAAAAAACACACACAAAAAAAGAGAAAGTTCTTCTATCTTACCCCGAAGATGTGTTTCAAACTCAACGCGATATACAAAAATAAGAAAGTAAGGGTTTTTTTCTTTTTTTTTCGCTTCAGTCTTCGTTCTCCCCCTTCTCCTGCATATATATATATATATATCCATCACTACACTACACCACACATACAAACACACACACACATACATACATACATACACAGAGATACTTACAACGTATTGCAAGTAATGGGTGGTTAAAGTCCATTTGTTGGTATTTTCCTGTTCCTTCTTGATATCCTCTTTTTTTTCTTTTTATTTGCATTTCTTTTCTTTTTTTTTAATTGGAAGAATATAAAAATAAACCGTGAAATATCCCACCCTTTTCTTTGTATCAACAAAAAAAAGAAGAAGAAAACTAACCAACAGGTAATGAAGAATTCCCACTCGTCCAAATTAATATAACATCAGAAAATTGTTTTTTTTTTTTTTTTTGCCTTCCCATATATATAATTTATTGAAAGCTTCTCTCAATTCTACCTCTCTTCCACTGCGTCAAAAGACATGTCGTTACTGCTATTCCTTCTCATTCTCATTCTCTCTTTTTTTTTTTTTTTACACTCCCCATCACATCTGAACGCCCACTACAAATACAACAAAACAACAACAACAACGAGGAAAAGAAAAAGAAACAACAGCAATGAAACACAGACCCTCTCTCTTTTCTTTTGTTGTTGTTAGTGTTATTGTTTCTCCCCAACCCTTTCCGTTACTATCCGCTGAGCACCACTTCCCCACTATTCCCCCTTCTTTCTTACGTTCTTTGTTTGCTTGTTTTTTTTTTTCTTGTTACTCTTCGCTTCACATTTCCTTCCCTCTCTTCTAATTTATATATATATATATATATATATATATATATATATATACGTATGTATGCATGTATTTTTAGTAAACGCGCTTTGCTGGAGGAATACTCTCCAGTTCATTTGTCAACATCTCATTATGCACGCGGCGGTAGGCAAGTTTAGCCTTTCCATTTGGATCGTCAAGATAGGCGAGTGTGTGTTTCATCCAGTTGTGATCATCCCGCTCTGGGTAGTCATCGCGGGCGTGGGCTCCACGTGATTCCCGCCGCACTGCCGCTCCTGTGATGGTCATTAACGCATTCGTGAGCAAATTGCGCAGTTCCAGTGCCTCAATAAGATTGCTATTCCACACTGGAGATTTATCGTGAACAAGTACGTGGGAGTAGTCCCGATAGCACTCCTCAATAATGGCTTGTCCCTTCAGTAAGTTCTCCTCTGTGCGGAACACCGCCGCGTAGAGGGCCATTGTTTCCTTCATGCGTTCACGAATACGAGCCACGGGAATATCACCCTTATTGTGAAGAATACGATCCAGATCCGCAATTGCACTCTCACCCGCATCTGCCCGCATCTCCGGTTGGGCACGACCCTCCTTGGTGAGATTGAAGATAACGGTATTCGCACATGACTTACCAAACACCACAATATCGAGTAAAGAGTTCGCCCCAAGTCTGTTAGCCCCATGTACACTTGCACACGCACACTCCCCAGCCGCGAGTAGTCCAGGAACAATGGCGTCATCATCTCCATTGCGTGGACCCACCACTTCACCCGTCCACAGTGTTGGAACACCACCCATGGAGTAATGTACAGTAGGAACAATGGGAATACACTCCTTTGTCACATCTACACCAGCAAAGATATGTGCACTCTCAGAGATACCAGGGAGTTTCTCATGTAATTGCTCTGGTGGAAGATGATGAAGTTGTAATAAGACGTGATCCTTCTTAGGGCCACAACCACGACCAGCAAGAACCTCAAGTGTAATTGCCCGTGAAACCACATCACGTGAGGCCAAATCTTTTGCTTTTGGTGCATAACGCTCCATAAATCGTTCACCCTCGCTGTTTACCAAATAACCACCCTCTCCACGTGCTCCTTCTGTAATTAACACACCAGGACCGTAAATACCCGTAGGATGGAATTGCACAAACTCCATATCTTCAGATGGAAGTCCAGCACGTGCTACCATTGCGGTTCCATCACCTGTGCAGGATTTGGCACTTGTTGTGGTAAACCAACAACGACCATAACCACCAGTAGCGAGAATGGTGTACTTGGAGCGGAAACGGTGAATGGTTCCATCGTCTATGCTCATGGCAACAATACCGCGGCAACATCCATCCTCCACTATCAAGTCTAGACAATAGTACTCGTTAAAGAAGTTTACACCATACTGAAAGGACTGTCCATAGAGTGTGTGTAACATTGCATGCCCAGTACGATCAGAGGCTGCACACGTTCGTCGTGCCTGTTTCCCACCATAATGAATTGATTGTCCACCAAATGCCCGTTGATAAATAAATCCATCTTTGGTACGCAGAAATGGTAAACCCATACTCTCCAGCTCCGACACCACACATGGGGCTTCCTGGCACATATACTGAATTGCATCCTGATCCCCCAACCAATCACTTCCCTTCACGGTATCGTAGACATGCCAGCGCCAGTCATCTTCTTCACAGTTGGCGAGAGCGGCGTTAATGCCTCCCTGCGCGGCGATGGTGTGGGAACGCGATGGATATAATTTGGACACACACGCCACGTCGTAGCCGGAGGCCGCCACGCCCATCGCCGCACGCAGACCAGAGCCGCCAGCACCAACCACCACACAGTCAAAGGTGTGATCAATCACCGGGTACGCCTTACTCAGCTTTGATGTGAAGCGGGAAAAGGTGCGGCGAAGCATCTTTTATGTATATATATTATATATATATACTGATTATATATTTTTTTTTCTTTCTTTTTTTCCTTTCTTCTCTTTTCTTCTTTTCCTTTCTTTCTTTTTCTTTACTCTTGAATGGTGTAAAATCAAACTAGTTTCTTCCCTTTATTGATGCTGCTGTTTTGCTTTCAATCAATGGACCACTGGTTCCTACGATATCCAAAAAGAATAAAAAGATAGGAGGAAAGGTATGCATATCAGAAAATCAAAGACGAAGAGAAAGAGAGAGACAAACAGATAAGAGAAAAAAAAATAAAAAAGAAAAACGAGTTACAAATCAGTTTAAGCGAAAAAAAAGGGAAGAAAAAAGAAAAAAAAAAAGATAAGAAATAGAGATGACTGCATTGTCACACCTGTATTGTATACACTACAAACACAGAAGAAGCGATAGAAGCAGCAAATAAATATAAAGATTCTCAATATTCTTTCTATTTGCATACTGCAAAATAAAATAATAATAATAATAATAATAATAATAATAATAATAATAATAATAATAAAAGCGTTCGTTGTATTGAAAAGAAGAAAAAGGGATATCCTTATCTCTTTATCACGCCTTCAGTATGAGAGAAGGTGGACGAACGTATCTTTGAAAGGAAGATACAAAAAAAAAAAAAACATAAAAACATAATAAAAAGAAAAACACAAAAAAAAAAAGGAGCAACGCAAGCGGAAGTCTAATATACCCAACGTTGAAAAGAAAAAAAAAAAAGAAGAGACTGAAAACACTTCTCAGCACTACGTACTTCAATAATAGAAATCGCCTATAAAAGAGAAAGATCTAATAGAAACCCAGAAAGAAGAGTGACGACCATAATTACAGGCAGTCAAACAATGGAGATATAGACACACACACACACACAAGCAAAAGAGAAAAAGAAGATGGATCTTTTTTTTTTCTTTTTTTAGTTGTACTTCATCACTCTGTAAA